ACACTCACTTCCCCATACGCCTTCATGGCACATTGCTTAATTAGTTTAGCACAGGAACAACTTTACCTTTTTTATAACTTACTTACTTACTCATGAAGCTGAGCCCTTCTGGAGGAGCCGCCAATTCTGCAGGTACTCAAGAATTTCCCAGCATTTTATAGAACCCGAAGGTTTATTACCGTGTTCACAAGAGCCCTCCACTGGTCCCTATCTTGAGCCAGATTTATCCAGTCCATACCATCCCATCCCTCTAAGATCCATTCTAATATTGTCCACCCACCTACACCTTGGTCTTCCCAGTGGTCTCTTTCCTTCTGGCTTTCCCAACAATATCCCACACGCATTCCTCTTCTCCCCCATTCGTGTTAACCTTTTTTATCATTTAGATAAAATTAACTTCAATGGATTAAAATATAATTTTACACATGGATACACACAGATTACTTACTTGAGCTTATCTCAGTAAATAAGAGCTTGGATATTGGCGTGACATCTGCAGACTGTGGCTGTTCACTGTGCACTGTACACTTCTGTATAACTTCATACAAAGCCTGTAGATACATATACTCGTATGATCTCTCTTCATACTGAGTAGAGTGCATGTCTGTGCCTATGCTGTACATTAGCTATTGCTATTAAATTGAAAAGTCTTTATATAGATGTTGCACTGCCACCATATTGAAAAAAAAGGACATTGACAAAAGAATCACACGTTCTTCCAGTTATCAACCACCACAGACAAAATACTCGTATTAGAATGACACATTAAACGACGTTAAGTCGGTCCCAAGTAGGAGCAACAAACTGTACAGTTATCATGTTGGTACTATCGACAGTAAAGTGGGCGAAGGTGGGGCGTCCTCTATTTACGCTGATTACCCACATTTTGTTAAAACCTATCCTCTCATTTAAAAATAATTAGACAACGGGGTAGCGTAGTTGGTTGAGAGGCTATGCTACAAGATGGAAGGTCGCGGGTTCAAGTCCCGATCAGGTCATTGGATTCTTTTTTCAGTTGACCTAATCCTTCCAGCCGCACTATGGCCCTGGTGTTCACTCAGCCTCTAACAGAAATGAGTACCAGGAATTAATTAAATAATTTTCCTGGGGAGTAAAGCGCAACCGGCGCGTAAGGCTGACAACCTGACCGCCATCTTTGAGCCGATTGTCTAGATAATGTGGGACCCTGAACGTCTCACAACCCTATGGGCCTTCACGGCCTGGTACAGGGATACCTTTACTTTATACACTTGAAAAGATACTGCGTGCCTATTTTTCCTTATAAAATGATAACATTAGACTAAAAGTGAACATTATTTCAGTTAGATCATGAAAGACAATGTTTTAGGCACTGTTTAGGCATAATTTACTCTCATATGAATCTTTTGTCTTTGATCAGAGCCTCAAATTAGTTCAAAATTAAATTAATTAACAAGAAGTTCTGGGAAGAACTAATCCCGTACTCTTCTTTCAAATGACAAGGAACACACAGAAAACGACGCATCCAACAATTCTACCATTGTTGTATTTGTTGCCGTTGTGAAGTATAAACAGAGCTGTTACCTAGCAATGATTGGGGGACACACCAAGTTTCATAGATTTGTTAAGCCATTCGAAAGTGGATAGGGGGTTACAGACACATAAACAGAATGGTGCTCACATAAGTGTGCTTTTATTTTTTCAAAATAAGGAAAGCAAGATAATAATTAGTCCATATGGAATATTTACTATGATTAAGAAGCAGGCATTCATTCATACTTTCATTCGTGGTACTGTTGTGCTCTTAATACGTAGGTAAGTCAATAAGTAAGTTATAAATGGATATAGAACTTAAACAAATAAGAGTACTGATTTGAAAAATGCTTTTATTTCTCAACATAATCTCCCTGTACATTGAGGCACTTGTCCCATCGTTTCACACGCCCCTGAAAACCAGCAGCATAAAATTATTTGGGCCGCTGTCAGAACCAGGCGGTGACTGGGATCACGAAGGCATACTGCTTACTGCATTCCAGCCTCAAGGACAAACCGTAAATGCCGACTCCTACTGTAACTTCCTCAGGAAACTTCGTAAGGCCATCTAACAGAAGCGACCAGGACTTCTCACCAAAGGTGTGTTGCTCTTACATGACAACACGTGCGTCCCCATACTGCCAACAAGACAAATCAGACTGTGCGAAATTTCAAGTGGGAAGTCCTCGAGCATCCTCCGTATAGCCCCGACCTTGCTCCAAGCAACTTCCATTTGTTCGGCCCTCTTAAACATCATCTTTCGGCTGAACATTTTCCCGACGATGAAGCTGCAGAAAGGGAAGTCACCGCCTGGTTCCGACAGCAGCCCAGAGAATTTTATGCTGCTGGTTTTCAGGGGCTTGTGAAACAATGGGACAAGTGCCTCAGTGTACAGAGATATTATGTTGAGAAATAAAAGCATTTTTGAAATCAGTACTCTTATTTGAGTTCTATATCCATTTGTAAATTGGGGCACGCGGTAGCGTAGTTGGTTGAGGCACTATGCGACAAGCCGGAAGGTCGCGGGTTCAAGTCCCGATGATGTCATTGGATTTTTCAATTGACCTAATCCTTCCGGCCGCACTATGGCCCTGGGGTCCACTCAGCCTCTTAACAGAAATGAGTACCAGGAATTAAATAATTTTCGTGGGGAGTAAAGCGCGGCCGGCGCGTAAAGCTGACAACCTTACCACCATCTTCAAGCCGATTGCCTAGAAAATGTGGGACCCTGAACGTCTCACAACCCTATGGGCCTTCACGGCCTGTTACAGGGATAGCTTTACTTTTACGTTTTATCCATTTGTAACTTACTTATTGACTTACCCTCATATGTAGGCCTACATGTCATATAGGCATTAACAACAAGACAGTTAAATCCAGGACTCCTCTTAGTGTTGGCAAAAGTGTAGGTCTACTTCCAATCTGAAAATTTCCCAGACCAATTGCTTCTAATGGAAGGTTTAAAATTCCATATTTATTATTGACTTAATAACAGCTTCCTGCTAATATTTGACACATATTTATTTTGAGCAATTAATGTTAAATGGTTAATCTTCAAACTGCTTATCGTCCGATAACTGTACTGACTTAATAAAAACTCGCTGGTTCTTTGTGTGACATAATTTATTCATACAAAACAATTAATGTTAAATTGTTTATCTGCATACAATACTCACGGATTGTTAAAATATTTTCTTCTGAAAGGCAGCAAGGATACTCTCATGTTCAGAAAATACAATTCTCAAATCAGACTGGCTTGAAAACATGAACTGGGGTTCAATCCCTAACGGTAGTAAGAGAACGTTTTCTTTTCGACCATGCAATTCACTTAACTTTCGTTTCAAAACCGAGTTCCACTGCATTTCAATTAAGTCCACTTATAGATTGTGTGCTTTTTCATTTCCAAATTAAATGATACAATGATCATGGCAAATATTACTTCACGGAGCTCAAAATCTTGAAGCCTAACATCAAATTCAATTTAGTAATCCAGTTTCAATGCACCAAATGATCTCTCTTTATTTGAATTTCCCAGAACCAAAGTTTGTCTGAAAAGTTTCTTGTACCTAGTTCACATGAACTGAGAAGACCAATCTTGAACCCATTTAATAATTTTTTAATCACAGCCAAATCTTGTTCCCTCACTTCTAGAAAATTAAATTTCATTTCTGAACTCAAGAAAACTCTTCAGCACCCTGTGGCATGATAGCCTGTTTATGATACGACAAATCTGCAGTACTCACTTTTCCACATCACAGAGGAAAGAAGTAAACAGCCTATGATTGAGTCCTCTAGTATATAGATTACAATTTATACAACCAGTTTTAAAAAGGTCGTTTAGTTTTGTGACCTACGTCCTGGTGAATTGCGAAATGAAAATTATGAATTTCGTTGCTAACTTTATCAATCGGTTTCTCTACATGACCATTTCTGGAACCAACTGTATGAGATATATCTGTTGCTAAACATATGTGTGTGTTCACATTTCCAAGCATTTTTCAAATTCACAGAAAACGCCTTCACTGTTAGTAGTTCCACACACTCAAAATGTTAATCAGTATGCTTAAAACTTTTTACTATAAGCTTTCAATTGATCACTTGCTGCTGGCAAGGTCATTCTCATGTTCTGCCACTGAGACTGATATTAATGGTTCTTTCTTAAATCCATCCGTTTGTAAGAGAACATAATCTTTGCGGTATCAACAAAGCCCTCCTCAATAATCTGGCCTTCTGCACCACAGATTTTGGGTGTCAAACAGCTAAGACAACTCATATATGCCTTCATAGCTGCTTCCCTTGTTTTATTACCTGGACAGAAAATATTTTGTTATTCTTTAATGTAGAGTTTAGTTGACAGCTGCTTTCTCTATCCTTCGCCACTTCCCTACAAGCATCTAATAGTTTTCTTGTGTTTCACAGTAGTGCTGCTGCTGTACTCAGCAAACAGTGAGTGTTAGCATATAAGACAAGTGATATTGTCTTTAATTTTGGATAAAAGTACTGCATAACCTACTTGTATGGATGACTACTACACTTTGACTAGCATGGAAATCAACTGCTCAGAAATACCTTTACTACAAGCTTCCTCAAATTTTAAGTGTGCCCCAGGCCAAACAGTAGCTGGAGAGGTGTGGTTTTCATTTATTTTATACACATACAGCCCATGGCCTGCCAGTTTGACACGTGAACTCTCCACACGAATGAGTTTCAAGTTTCACAATGTACTTTATTCTTGTCAAAATTGGTGCACAGTGTAAAATCTTGGTTATACTGCTTTATGAAAACTGTTGTGACGTATTACCATTATTGTGACCAACATTCCTCATTTCTATAATCCCCCTTTATGAGAAGATGGAAAGAAAGAAGACCTCACTTGTTCACAATTTCTTCACATATTCACTTTTGGTAATATTAGCTTGTTACTGGGAAGGTCCTAGAACACAATGACATACTTAGGCTGGCTACAAGTAATAATTATAAAATCATTATAAACTGTTTCATTGTTTTATTATCATCACTGTAATGGTTAGGGCAAGATGAAACCAAATCTGCCCTACAAATGAAACTAGTTTGAGAATGAGATTTATAATGTGTAACATTTACAAAGGCATCGTTTACATCTTGTAACTCATATATATATATATATGCATATATGTATAGATTATATATATGTATATACACGTTCCATTGAGCCTCAGGACACAATCATAAAAAAAAAAATGCATTATGCATTATGTTGTAAAAATGCAGGGTGAAAAAATTTAACGAACGTAATTACTTTCTATTCCAGTTTTTTATCTTTAAAATTGAATATGTACTCAAGGCAAAATATGTGTCATGTCATTTTCTTATATTTGGTCAGTCATTGCATAGTTATAAAGGTAAATAAATGTTTAAACAATAATGTCCCACCCACGATGACAAAAATACGCTGAACCTCAAACAACGGCAAGGATTAATCCCAACAGTTTAAAGAAGACACCCCACTAGCTGACATAACACAGGGTTTGATTACCTCAAAAAATATGAACAAAGCAAATTTCCTGCTTAACGGTATCAGTCATTTCACTACATATTATGAGGAAGCTTACTCCAGTACACACATTATTGCATCAATATATATCGCCGTGGTATACTGTTAGGACAAGAACCAAATTCTCACTGGAGTACACATTCCGCTGGTGGCAGGAAATAGTGTAGTTAAAAAATCGCGATTGAGCCATCACAGACTTCACCTCCATTACATTCTGTGCATAAAACCACACATTCACATTTTCCAAGTGTTCACCCAGATTTCAAAGTGTTGTAATAGACATTCAAGTGATTAACAGAAGCATTAACTTACAGCAAAAAATTTAAAGCTGAAATCATTAACTATAATCACAACTGTTGAAGTTAATAGAAATATGCTTTACTCAACACGCAAATGGGCCCAGAACTAGAAAATTTTGAATGTGTGATTCCTTACAAAAGAAAATAAATGTTATTTACTTACAAATTACAATTTAATTTACTTACAAATATTACTTACTACTTCTTTTCATAAAAAATATTAAATTACAGGAACTAAATTTAATATGAAAATAGGCATAAGTGATTACAATGCTGAAGGACTAGTTTCTTAATACAACTCCCACATAAATTATTGTTGCTGTTGTTACTTAGTTTCTTCCTCTGCTGTAATTTCATTCACTGGTGGGTACACACTACTCCTTAGCCAGCTGCAAAGGTGGCACTCTGTTGAGGTAAATAAAAATACACGCACAAAAGATCGGAATGCTCACATCCTCATATCAAGCGATCTGCCGCCAGTTAACAGGGGGGAGCCTATTTATAAACTGGGTATTAGCTTCAACCACAACGAAGCATGCAATCAATGTTGTAGTCATGGGGAAAATAAGAGGATGTCTATTTGAAAATAAATTCCTATCTAATTACGTGTTACTGCACAGCACAATTAGTCATTTTTACACTGGGCACTCTTTGTTCATTTCTACTTGCAACATTCGGTCTCCCTTAAAAAATTGTCAATTTACCTTCCTACACATTTTCACACATAACTGTGACAATGATTGTGTTTCCTTGACAGCCACCAGAGTAGAAATAAGCTCCCAGGTGTGAAGGTTGGAGGAAGAAGCTGGGGTGTAAAAACAGAAATCACACCAACCACAACTGCACCACCAGAACCATACCAAAACACCACACACCACTGTTCACAGTCAATGTTTTATTATGATACAAATTACAATTTTGGTAACAAAGAAAGGGTGGGTGAATACCATCACCATACAAAAAAATAAGGTTTGGATGGGGATATCTGGTCAGTTGCATTTTGTTTCTGTGGACCCCACACAACTGAATGCTATTTATTTAAGGTTGGCTTCCTGAACTGGTAGAAGATTTCCCTTTGCTCTGATAGGCATTATGAGTGTCGGCCAATTTCTGCACCACCTGCAAGCACCAGAAACCAAACACGTCCAAAAAGAGTCATACAAATTGATTTTGCTTCACTTAACAAAACACTCTATCAGGAAGGTTTTCAAAATTTGTATAACCCAGAGGACATGGTTAATGATTGAGATACATTTCCTGCAATGCCTGTAATATCATTCTATGTTCTACAACTAGACTCCAATCTGTTCAGCAAGCTCTTCCACTAAATCATGTACAGAGATGTCCTTCACATAAAGTTCAAAATCTGAAAACTTCATTCATGTCGAAGTGTGATTTTATACATATTCACCCCTGTATGCTCTCTGTATGGCAGCAATGTCATATAAAATGTAGATGACACTTTGAGACCTGATCAAGTTAACCAAGTGGTGACTCCATTACGCTGCTGAGGCTGCTATGTGTGACAGAAGTTCTACTTGACACACTATCCGACATAAAGTGGGTTGTATGCAAGATGGACATCAAGAAACTAACTGCACGATAGATAGTACAAAACTTAATGCCTGCCATTAATAAAACTGCAACTTACTGAGTGCCCATTTGAAGCCTGCCAATGATATCAAACATCAAGGATTGCTTTCAAATATGATTTTCCTTCAATATAAAAACAGCTTGCCACCACAGTGCTCAAACAATGGCTGACACAACAGAAAATCTGAGCAACGAAATCATTGCATATGCCCCTCATTAAGCTGATCCTGGTGTCAGCAATGCCTGTATGCTTGGGCCCTTAAACTGAATGGTGCGAGGACTTAATTATGGACAAAAACGGTAAACAGGCAAGGCACATGTGGCATTAAAACCAACCAAAAACATTTTATACTGACAATACACAAAATCCAGTGCTTTGATGGAAAGAAGCCAATTTTTGAGAAAATTAATACACTTACTCTCCATTAAACAAGTTCAAAACTATTCTCCAATTTTCACTCGATATTCCTCCACAGTTAAACTGATTAAATTTCAGTTTCTGAGTTGATTTTGTTACCATTTTATGTTTGTATACTGCCAGTGTCACCCCCGTGGGCTACTACTTAATGTGGACACAGGTCAAAGCATAAAGAAAAGGTGGCCCTGGTCCTTCAGATACAGAACTGGGCGTGAGACCAACAAACTCATTTTGGAAAACAATATGTTAAGACACCTGCTGAAAAACAGTCTAGGGAAGCAGTTAATGAAACAGCTGTTTAGATCAGTGAGGTGTATCTTGCTGCTTAGAATATGCTCAGTTTATTCTGGGCAAAAGCTCAAAATCGGAATTCGAGAAATGCAACATTTCTACTCCAGTAATTCAGACAGTTAGATCAACAGGAGAGGAAAATATGGATACAAGGACTTTCATTATGTTTTACAGGCGAAGTACATGCAATATGTTCAACGTATGTCTTGATTAATAAGAAATATAAGCATAAGGTGACTGGGTTTTAGCCAATGAATGCAAGGCTTTGTGTTTTAAGACAGGGGGCAAAGTTTCCCAACACTACGCTAATATTCATGTGAGAAATAAAAGCAAGAAGTAAAAATTCCTACAGTAAACTTCATAGCCTACTTAATGCACCTACACATGACACAAAAATCTTAACTGGAGAATTAAATGTACAGACTGGTGAACAGGAGGTATTTTACAAAGTATCTGATGATGGAGCTCACATCAGACATCCAACAACACAATGGGCTATTCATTTTGCTATCAGCAATAGTGAATGTGAAAAGGACATATTTTCTGCACATGATACAAAAGGAAATATGTTGCTTTCAATGGTTCTACCAAAAAATAAACTGACTGTGTTGACAAATGAAAGATATTTATCAAATATTATACATATGAGAGACTGTAGAGCTTCACACTATGTTACAGGCAATTTTTAGTATGGGTTGATATAATGTATCAAACTATACAAGAATTTTGGGATGAAAAAAGAAAAATATGTCAAGAAAGTAAGCATAAAAGGTTTATGGAGACATATGGCCAGAAATTTTCAAATTTTTGCTGCTGGATGAAGAGCAACAGAAGAATTATACTGAAGACATGCAGTAGTACATAAAGAAGTAATGGATTTAGCTCAGTTATTGCAGTTATCTTACAATTCTGTCAGCAGCTACACCATACAGCAGTCAGGTGCAAAGGAAGCAATCAACAGATCATGATCTAAGACAGAGGAGATACGAATGGTTTGATGACAAGTATAAAATAACAGTGCGCTGATGAAAGAAACAGAGCTAGAATTAAAATGATGCAGGGAGGAATGAGATTGCAAATGCAGGCAGAGAGAAGCAAAGAGGATTCAGAGTAAGGGGTAAAATGGTTTATGAAATGGAAATTTTACAATCAACAGCAACAGCCCAATGGAAGAAAGATGTGTTAAAAGATTTGCAAGATAATTAAATGTGTAAAGGGTGGTTTTTAACCAAGTACTTCCATATGCAAGAATAAGATGGTAATATTACTGGAAAAGATAAGGTGGCTATTGAGAGATGATGGCAACATTTGCTGAATTGGATGATAATACTCAAACAAAAGCACACAAGGACATGAAACATGTACTTAACAAAGAATGAAGTTTTTGAGGATACAAAGAATCTAAAAATCTATAAAGTACCAGGAGAAAATAATATTTGTGGTGAATTAATGAAGTAAGAAGACCTGAGATTGCGTAGGGAAATATCGATATTAACCGTAGTGATAGGGATATGTGAGATCAGGCCAAGCAACTGCATACTGCAATAATATGTCCAATTCACAAGAAATGCGATAAACTAAATTGAGAACAATATCATTACTAAATGTAAAATTCTGACTGTTTTGCAGAAACTGTTCATTCCATACAAGGAGATGTTCTGAGACAGCAGAGAAGACACATGAATTTGACACTGATATGCATTTACTGTTCATTTACTTTATGTAAGCTTACGACAAATTAGACACAAAAATATTTATATTAAACTGGGATCCCTAAGAAACTGGTTAATGAGATACAAATGGTCCTAAAGGGGGCTTAAAACAAGGAGATGCTTGGTCCAAAACTCTATTTAATATTGCACTAGAGAATGCAATAAGAAATATTTAAATTAAGCCAGACGGAAGTACTTTTAATAAAAAAAGACAATATTCAGCATATACAAATGATGTAGTGATACCTGAATGCTTGATGAAAACATAAACGAAGAGTGACACTTTACAGGCTGGATCAGCATGTGAATTACAATAAAAATAAATACATTATATTGTGACGTGCTGCGCTATGGAGGACACCCTCCCCCCCTGCCAGCGGTGACGTGCCGAGCGGAGTCGAAGTGAGCCGAGTCCAAGCAGCGGTTGCTAGGCAAAGTGAGCAAACAGCAGTACCCATTACATAACACGGGACGCTGCAGTTGCTACGTAGCCATAAACAACTCCCAACAGCGTTGCTAGGCTATCGACTTACACAGCGACTAGGCAACAAGGAAGCGAGGTGTTTCCCGTTGTCCAGCTGAGAGTTTATAAGAGAACTACACTGCCTACAAAGTTAGTTAATGTGTAGCAGCCGCCGAAGACAGTTAATGTGTAGTGGCCGCCGAAGTGAGTTCTCAAGGCAGCAGCCTACGAAGCAAGTTGGAATCTAGCAGCAGTCGCGGAAAGAAGAACCGGACACATGTGTAATTGTGTAATTGGGAGTGTGTAATACAGAGAGACCTGTATAGCTCCCGTATTGTGAATACGTGTAGACTACTGAGGACAGCGTGAAGTACGGTTTGTAAAGCGTGTAAACCCATAATATTGTTATAATTAATTGTAGCCAAAACTTATAGGTTGTTAAATAAACCAATTAACGATCCGAACGGCGTCTTCAGTAGCAAAACACGTTACAATATAATGTTTAAGAGGAATTTATCCAACCTTAAACAGGATTTGTGTACTGAATGGAAGTTTTTTGAAAAGGTTAAGAATGTAAATATGTTCAGTTGGTTTGGTAACAGGAGAAAATGAAACTGGTGAAGAGATCAAGATGTGAATTGCTGTAAGAAAACAAATGTTATGGTTTCTAATATAGTCTGAAGACTAGAGATGTGAGACGAACAGCAAAAATTAAAATATACAGTATATTGTTAAAAGCAGTTATGATGTAAACAATGGTCCAGTACCCAAGAATGGGGTTTGGAGAATCAGAACTAAAGAAGAATCAAAGGAACCTCTAATCTGGTAGCAAATACTAATATGAAAAGATTGAAGTGGCTGAGGAATGTGACTATAATGGAACAGGCAAACATGGCGCAGAAAATTTTCGAAGGGAAGCCAGAAAGTAGGGGGGTCCAACGTATGATGGCCAGAAGATGCAGATAATGAGTTATGCAAGCTGAAAGTGAAGAGCTGGAGGAATATAATGAAGAAGAATGTCATCTGTTGTAAGGGATGCCCAGGTCTTGGAGGAATGTAAAGCCAAGAAGTACTTAAGCAGATAAGCACAGTACTCCGTTAAAGTATCTCATTTATATTATAAACTTTTTCAATCATTTTGTTTTTTAAGAGTTCTGATTTTAACTCCATTTATGTACTCCTGAAGACTGATTCTCTTTCTGTATGAGAAATACTGTATTACTATAATGTCAATTGTATTCTTATATTCCCATACTAAACTTAAATTTATAAACCCACTTCAGCCTAGTACTGAGGTTAAGAATGTGTGAAGCTTTATCTCCACATCTCCATATGCTTTAAGAACGTGTGAAGCTTTACCTCCTTGCCTCCATATGCTTCATGTCATAGCACATGAGCACACAGGAAACTTCAATTTACAAGAGTGTAATATGTGACCATAATTTAATTGTTATTTATATTAAGAAACAAAATCTCACAAAACTAATATAGAACAGGCAATAATATGACTAAAATTTGTATAATACGAGTAGTTAGTATATTTCACTTAAAAATCGTTCCTTATCCGTGGATGGAATTTCATAACTGATGCATCACTGAAGAAGCAAAACATGGTAGAACAGTTTAAGATGACAGAATGACA